GGACACAGGGCAAGCGAGTTTGGGACAGGACAGAGACTTGCTGCTGAGGTAATGGAGAAGAGCTGATGCCTGATAGGCAGTGCCGCCATCTTCCTTCAACACTTTCCCCACACAGCACTCAGCATCTCCTTCTAATGCATGCTGTCAGAGTGTTATTAACCTTCCCAAGGCGCCCCTGTGGCTCAATTTGGCCCTGTGTAATGAGTTCCCTGAGTGAACTCTTCCAATCATCTCTGACAAGCTTCCAACAGCTTCCAGAATGTCAGTTATTCCCTTAACACCATTGTTGTTGATTTTTTAACCTTGTTAAGGTTACGTTAGCTTAGTGAGGCTAGTTGCCAGTTTCTGGAGTTGCTGTATTTTTTCCTCAGGCCATTTAATTATCTTTCTTCCTCTCTGTTACCCTCTGTCTCACATTCCCTGATTCTCCCCTGCTTTCTTGTGCTCCCCTCTTTCCCTCCTTTCTCTCTGTGGGCTTCCTCCCGCTATCTCTCCAGCCTCACTCAGAATGCCTCTCTCAGCGTTGTCAGCTCTAGCCACCCAGCCTTAAAATGGTTTTCTCAAGTAAACACTTCATTAACTAAATTACTTTGGAGTAGTAAGTCTTCTAAAGGGAATTCAGCATATTCTAATCAATGAATCCCCTGCCCAGTCAGAAAAAAAAACAAAACCAAAAAAAAAAAAAAAAAAAAGAAAAAACCAGCTCTTCCAGTAGCTGCTTTTAGACAGCCTCCTCTGTCTCTTGCCCAACCAAACTAGGGCAGGCCCATCCACTAATGCAACAGAAGTGACTAGAAGTGCATTTTGTATTTCTAATCTCTCTCAAAGGCCTGCCAAGGACAACATCTTGAAGGTCTTATTTTCACTAATCTAATAGCACAAAACAATCTCAAAGCCAAAGCTTATACACTTGGCCCAATACATACAATTGTGTAGAATTGAGATTCTATTCTGCACACGTTTTTGGTCAAACAACAACACAAGACATATTGGTGCTAAAATTTTTTAGGTAAACAGAGGTCCTGTGACTACACCCTTGGGTTACTGCCTCATACTCACCTTGGACCTGCTGTCCAAACACTGTGCTCCCCAGTGCTCCTCTCATTTTCAACCCGGCTTGTTGATTTCTTCTGACCAACTCCACTCTTGTCGCTTATCTCATCCCACAACACTGGCCTCCAAAGAACATGGTGCTCTTGGATCCAGCATTGCTGGATCTTCAAATCAGTTGTGTGCCCTCGGGCATGAGCATGCAGATTCTCCTTCCTTTCAGTAATCCATCAGTAAGAAACAAGAAAATGGGTTCTTTAAGGAAATTTTGTTCTTTCAGCAACTTGCTTCACCTTCTTTAAGATGCTACAAAAGAAATTAGGTACAAATGATTGTCAAGTGCTTTTAGAGATTCGTAATTCTCTTTCTCTCATTTTCTCCCTCTCCTCTGTTATTCTCCAGCATGGCATATCTGCAAATGACTATGGTCAATCTTTTGGGTAACAAGTTACCAAAACCAAGACATTTTAAGAAAGCATCTTTCATTCACAGCTTAGCCTTCTAGTAAAACTGCTACTAATACCCACTTATTGAGGGCTTATGTGTCAGGCGGCACATGAGTACATTCCTCACATGAGTACATTCCTCGCGGCTCTCATCAACAGCCCACTGGTAAACCTTAGCCAGGTGTCTGAGAGCTTGCATAGGAGTTTCACGTAGGCAGAGCCAGGCTTTTGCCCACTGGCTTAACTACTGTGCCATCTCTGAATAACCTCCTTTATGTATGTATGTGTGTATTTTTAATTATTACTATACTTTATTTTTCAGAACACTTTTGATTTATAGAAAAATTGAGCAGCTAGTACTGTCCCCACATATCCTGCCTCCCTAGATGACCTCCTTTATTTCTCCCTCCTAGTCTGTGTGATCTTGAAAATGGTAGAAAAGCTGACCATTCTGGGCTGTCCTCTGCCAAATCCTGCTCCCTCTTCTAATTCTTCATACTTAACAGCCTACTTGGGAGATGCGCCTACTGCATGTTTATGATCCTGGTTTGTGTGCTCAGCTCTCCTGCCTGATATTTTTATTTCTCTCCAACAGCAGAAGTACTTCTGGGAATAGTCTGATGCACATGAGGAGAAACAAGAAGTTACTAATAAGATTAAATTAAACTTAGACACATTTTTAACAGCGTGTAAAGCACAGCACTAAGCACTGTTTGAGATGAGCAGACACAAGCCACGGCCTCATGGAATTTACAATCTGGAGAGTGACAGGATGAGGTAGAAGGCTTCACATACACAAATATATATACATGAATTCATGCCAAACATGGCAAATTCCACGAGAAAAGAATAAATGAAGTGCTGCAGGGCTGAGAAACAAGAGTCCTCACATTTTCCTGGGGAGACAGGAATGTGACCGTGTGATAGAAAAGAACGTGTGGCTGGAGAGTGGGAAGCCCCAAGCTTTACTCCAAGCTGGTCACTGATAACACTGATAAGGCCTCACTCTTTGGCCATTGCACATGCCCCCAAGACAGGTCGGATAATTTCTTGCTTTGCTTTCATGTTAAAGTGTTTTTAGACCATAATTCTGAACACTTATTGAAGGTGAGTAGAACTTTTCTCTCTGTATTCTTCCTGCTGCCCTTCCTTTTTGTCTATCTATTATTTTCCCATTTTTCTCATAAACCCTACTGATAATGTTATCCTTGACAGTGAGAAATGCAAGTTATATAGACTGTAACCAGCAGAGGAGGTCAACATTTGAAGGGTCACTAGAAGACTTAGGTTTCATTTAATATCCCTCGAGGAAGTTTCTCACTTACAGGATGGACTTGACCATAGAGCAAATCTCCATGGGTAGAGTCTGGTTTTTCAAAATTATTTTGTTTTCATTGAGCAATCTGATCGCTGTCTATGAAGAAAAAAAATAGAGAGGAGAAAATAAATATTCATAATCCTGTAAGAAATAGTTCTAATGGAACTGCATTTTAAAACTTGTTTTCACCCTACTTATCCAATCAATAATACATTAATGCATCTTTCAGTGTTAATAAGTGTCAACTATCCTTTTTTATTTTTCATGGTTGTATGATATTCTGTCATGGGTTTTACTGTAATTTTCTTAACCAATGCACTCAAATTGAACATTTGAATTTTTTTCCATTCTAAAAGGAGTCATCTGAATTTGCTGGATAGCAGCATACTTAGTTTCTCTATCTGATACTCTCTTTCTCTGGATAACCTTAAGATAACAATACTACTCCCTCCTAGGGTGGTTGTTGTGTGTAGACAAAGGCAAGTAAAGCTCTTTGCACAAATACATATAGTGCAAAAGCAGACTAGATGTGCTCAATAAATATTGGCCACTTTATTAGCTACTTTTACAGAAGGAAATATTTTCCCCAGATTTTGGGCTAAGTTAATAGTAGAGCCCATCAAATTTGACTCCTAGTCCAATGTACTCTGTAACTAGGGGGAGGCATGGAATGGGGGCTCCCTAGACTGAGTAGTTTTCTACTGGTTTCTTATCTCCTTGATCACAGAGGAAGCTCCCAGGTGGTCAGGAATCTTGATTTTTCCTTTTTTTCTTTCCACAGCAGAGGACAACATGTGCTCAGCAGACTCGTCACTGTTCCCTGACATCCAAAAACCTTAGCAGATGTGTTTCCCATCAGCCTGTGCAGTCATCAAGGCTTGTCTTAGCAGTCATCAAGGCTTGTCTTAACCTTGCCACACACAGTCTGTTAACAGGGATCTGCTCTGCCGTGCAAAGGGCAGACACAAATCACTGTGCTCAGTCCACCGATAACAGCCTTTTCCCCGGTGTGGGATGCTTGGCATGAACCAAGCAAGCGTCAGGCCTGCTACTTGCTGGCCCTGTGACCTTGGGTAAGTTGTTTCCTCTCTGGTTCCCTTGGCCCTTTCCTTTTCTGTAGCACCGAGGGGTAGTGCAGCAGTCCAGGAAGGTAAAGCACAGTGGCTAGCACTGAATCCAGCCTCACACAGCCCTCTTCCCCCAACTTCTACATCCTTGTTGTGTTTTATTAAGTCAACTTTTCACATTGCAGATGCTCTTGCTTATTTATCCAGTTTACTTGCCCATCTCCCTCCCTCAAGGGGAAGAAGCTTCATGAAAGGTGGGCCTTGCCTGATTGTTTCTGCAGTTCAGCCAGGCCGCAGCTCTTCCCTGCCAGCTCCTGAATAAATGTGTGTTGCATGAGTGAAATCCCAGAGCCTTGGTTCAAACTCCGGTTGCACTGCGTTCTGGGTGATCTTGGGTAAGCCAGTTAAACCGCAGCTCAGTTTTCCCACTTGAAAAACAGAGATTAGTAACGGGGCCTGCCTTATCAAAGGAGGAAATACCTGGGAAGCACCAAGCATATGGAAAGGTATAGAGCATAACAATAGTCGTAAAGTTTCCGTAGCACTAAGCCTGGCCACTCATTTAACACACGTTAACTATATTAATCTCCACGACAGTCTACAAAGCAATGACAATGATCGCGCCATTTCACAGCGAACAAACCGGAGCACTGGGCTGCAGGATCAGGCGCCCAGTCTCGGCGCTGGTATTTTCACGCCCGGGGGCCCTCCCAGCCCGGGTGTGACCCCTCCGAGGGGCCGGAGACCGCGCGGGGTGAGCCGGGTCCCGCCCGCGGGCGCCCGGGACGGACCGGGCCAGGGGCGGGCGGCGCGTCACGGGCCTGCGGGCGGCGGGCCCGGCGCGGGGCTCACAATGCCGCGGGGCGGGGTGGCCGGCGCTCCCCCGCCGCCCCGGGCGCGCACGCCCCTTCCTGTCACCGCGGGCCGCCCCGCCCCCCGCCCCGTCGGCCGCCCGGGCGCCGCGGAGTGGCCGGGCCCAGGCGCATGCAAATGAGGGGGCGGCCGCCGCAGCCCATTGGCCGCCGGCGGAGTGTCGGTGAAGTCAGCGCCGGGTCCCAGAAAAACAGAGCGGGGCCGGCCGCGGCGTGCAGAGCCGGAGGGGCAGGACGCGCGCCCGCCGCCCGCCGCCCGCCGCCCGCCGCGCGGCCCGCAAGGTAAGCCCGCGCCCGCGCCCGCCGCCCGCCCGCGGCCGCGATGCCGGGGGCGTGCGTCGGCCCGGCCCCCGCGGGCGGCGCCTTTGTTCCGAGCTCGCAGGGGGCGCGTTTAAAGGGCCAGCTGTTGGGGGGACTGGGAGACCCCCTGCCTCCCTCCGAGCATCCCCGGGGCCTGCGGAGACCCGCGGCCCTGCCCCCCTCCTCGGCCGCGTCTTCCCGCCTGCCGGCTTGCGGATCCCTGGTCTTCCCGCGAAGTTCCCCGGGGTGCGGGGATTCTGGAAGATTCCGGGCTTCCCCCCTCTTTTTTTGTGGGTGGGGGGTTCGGGCGACCGTGGCCTCTGCCGGGGGAGAGCGTCCGCCTGCTGCGGGCGGGCTGCGGCTTGGGCGGGCGGAGGGGCAGCGCAGACCCGGGGGGTTCGCCCTGTAAAGTGAAACTAGCGAGCGGGGCTCCGCTGCAGCGGCCGCCCGAGCATGCAGGGAGCGCGCGGCAGGATGGAGGCACCTCAGGTGTGTGTGTTCATTCATCAGCATCCCCGGGCGGGGGGCGGCGGGGGGACGCGGGGCGCCCCGCCTGGCCGAGCACCCGCCGGTGTGAGCGGGTGCGGGTGCGCGTGTGTCCCCGGGGACACCGTGCCCGCCCGGCCGCGCGTCTCCTCCATCGCCCGCAGTGACTGGCAGCGTTGCTGGGCGGCTCATCCCCGAGGTGGGCAGAAGGCAGCACCTCTCTCCAATTCCCTGGGCATCCTCGGCCCCCACCTGGCTGCTTTCCGGCGTCGCTTCCTTGACAAGCGGTAGCGCCATTCGAGATAGAAGGGGAAAGAGGCTGGAAGTCATTATGTCCCTTTCATAGGGGAGTGTGCTGTTGAATCCTGCATCCCGGGGCATCCGCTGTCGTAAGATGGCTTTGAAATCCACCAGTGCATGCTTTCTCCAGGCAGACAGAATCCATCACGCTATTACGTTGCTCCATAAAAGCAGAAGGGGTCCCACCGAGCTGGGCTCGTTTCATCCAGACTATGGGTTTCCCCAGCATGTTCTGGCTGAGCCTTTGGATTTTTGTTTTAAACTGAGCGCTGGATGTTCCCGTTGTCACAGGGCGGACCTACTGAAATCGCCCGAATTGATTTCCCCTTCAATAGGAGGGAGGTTCATTTAGAGACATCATGGAACCTATCCGGCCTGTCAGGCCTCTGACATCACCCACTCCATCCCTTGGGTGCTTTCCCTCTTTTAAGTGCAGGCCATCCATGGCCTTTCTGTCTCCACTCCCTTCTTTGATTTTTGAACCCCTCTATTTAGATTCATTTTGTGTTTGGGGTTGGAAAGGTGACTTGGCGGTGATGAAAGAGAAGGCAGTAGGTTAAAAGTGGGGTGGGCAACAGATGGCAACAGCAGCCTCAATGACAGGAAATACATGCCAAATATTTGGCAACTCCTTTTCTAGGGCCCTTTGAGACAGTGACATAGAAGGTTTGTCTAGGGAGTGAGGGGTGTGTGTGTGTGGACTATGGAGGAGGGTTAGAGGAGGTGGATGCTGCCAGTCATTTTTCTGCCCCACCCCCTGGATGATGCCTTAAATAGCTCCTTGTTAGCCAAGCTCTGAAGTGTCGCCTCTTGACCTGAGGGGCACGTGAAAAGCAGGAAAGGGTAATCTGTTGGCATGATCTTTGGCAAAGGGTGATCTTTGCCCTGGGCTCTGTTGGAGTAGACGGCTAGGAAAGGGTTAGTTCTTCAGGGGTTGCGGAGAGCACATTTCTCAGCTGGAGGGCCCTGAGTTGTACTAGGTCGGTTGACTTCTCTGCAGGGTATTAGCAACTGAAAAGAAATGCTTTCTACCCTGTTGGAAGAAGAGAGGGCGGGTCCCTTCTTCTTCTGTTGGATACCCACCCCCCTGTGGCTCTTTTCTGCTCTTACCTGCCCTCTTCACCCCCCCCCCCACCTAGAGTTTCTGTGAACTTTTCTGAAGGGTTTGGGGGTGCTGAGGGATGAGGTAGGAGTAATGGGAAATGACCAACAGATGTTTCTTACTGACAGAACAAAGCACTGTTTAACTATTCCCTCTTTTGCTCTCCCCCAACTCAAGTTTAATATAGACAGCAGAGTCTGGGGTTTTCTTTGCAGAGAATGAATGGGCAGGGTCCAGGAAGAGAAGCTTTATTATGCAGCATTAGTAATCATCTGATCATCCAAACTTAGCTCTGGACTCTCCCCTGGACATGCAGAGACATTTGCTGTAGGGGGCACTCACTGGTAATTTAGGATTTCAGCTGTCTCTATGAAAAAGGAAATGAATGATCTCAAAAAGCTTTGGTGGAGGAGCTCTGGACCGAGCAGGACAGCTGACTTCAATCCTCACCACCAACCTGCTTTGGGCTTTGAGCTGGTGGCTTCCGCTCTCTGAGCTGTGTCCTTGTTGGTAAGCTGGAGGGCTTTGCAGGAGACCATTTCCCCCAGCTTCCTGACAGCATTACTGTTCAAAGATTCAGAAGACAGTTTCTGATGGTGTTCTTAGATTCTTTGCTGTGTACTAAATTGACGTTCAATTCCCAGTGTTGCTCAATGGCATGAAAGAAGATTCCAGGTCTCAGGCTTCTGTTGGATTCAGACTTACCTTTTCCCTTACCATTGCAATGCCTGAGGTTTTACTGTATGTAAATAATTGAGAGCTCAAAGGATCCAGAGTGAAAGACACCCAGACTAGGTCGTGGGTGGTTGGTTGGAGAAATGAAGGTGGGTGAGAGCGTGCTATGGACTCAATAACTCATTCTCTTCCTGTGTATGTTTAACTCACTGTTTTATTTATGGTTATAGAAGTGAATGTTTAGATAATTTAGAACACGAGAAGAGACCTCTGTGATTGCCGGGTTCAACTCCCTTCACTGAGGAATTTGATGCCTTGGAGTTGTGAGGGGATTCATCCAAGGTCACACAGCTAGCAAGATGCAGAGCTAAGCCAGGCATCCAAGTGGAAAGACTCTAGGTCCTGTGCTCAGCTGCATCTCTTAAGCCCGCTTTTCCTCTGAGAGAAATGATACTAAGTTGGGGTAAAGAAAAATACAGGGGACATAGGGGCAGCAGAAGGGAGAGGCTGAAGAAACAGACCAGTGGGAGGTTGAGAGCAGGTCAGGTAGGGAAAGGGAAACAGACACCATCTTGGATGAGGGAGAAATAGAGCTGGAAGGGGCAGGCTCTGTCATCTGTGAAATTGTAGGTGTCAGTAGCCTTTAGATTAAGGAGAGGTTTGGCTTAGACTAACTAGGTGGGAGCTGAGAGTCCAGCCTGCGTGGAGACTGACTGGAAGTCTCCTTGGGATCTCTCCTGACCCTCAGATTGCAGAGTGTGGTTGAGGCATCTTCATTTCAGGGTTGACTGAGGCCTTTGGAACCACTGGAACATGCAGAATTTGAATGTGTGGGAAGTCAGGTGTGCTGGTGGTGGTGCTGGAGAATGCTGAGGTAGGACCCAATTCTGCTGAGGCCCCATTTTTTTTGTTTTTTGTTTTTAATACAAAACTAAAAAAAGTTTTCCTTGGATTTATTTTTCAATTCAAGCATTTTCTCCTCTTTAACTTTTATTGGTCCTTTGTATGGTTCATACAAATACATTTCATGTATTCTTTACAGAGGGAAGCGCTTGGGGATGACTGATTTACTGAACTGTATGTAGCTCATTTGGGGGATCCTCTGGCCTATGACTTGAGCTAAACCTCAGAATGTTCCTATGAGCAATTAAAGAGCCCTGTGAACAGTGGTTAACCAGGTTGGTGACCATTCAAAGGCAAGAATAAAAGATGATAATACTTTGAAGTCTATAGCCCAAGCCAACAGCTGGCCATGAATAGTGTAATTTACTTGGTCTAAGTTTTCAGGCCCAGGAAATGTCTCTCTGGATCCTTTAGTTGCTCCCTCATTTAGTGCTTGGTTAGTCATGTGTGTCTGTCTGTCCCTGTATCTCACAGTCTTCCTATCTTCCTTTTCCCACCTCTCCCTCCAACATTTTTTTTAAAAAACGATTTATTTATAGGGGCCTCCCCGGTGGCACAGCGGTTGAGCACTGGGTTGCGAAGCTGCCCGTGGCCTCTGTGGCGCCAGTTCGATCCCCGGCTGCTCCCCGGCCACCGGAGGAGGGTCCCACATGGCAAGCAGACCTCTCCTGCCGCCCGCTGCTCCCCTCAGCAGTGTACTTCGGTCCTTCTGCCTGTTCTGCTCCCCGCTCTGGCTCTGGTGAATTCTCTCACCCTCCTGCGCTTCTGACTGTACCCAGTGCTTGTATAAACAAACAAGCAAATAAATAAATAATAAATAAATAATACATGCCTCTTTAAAAATAAATAAATAAATAAAAGATTTATTTATATATGCATACAAGAACTGAGGTAAAGGCCAGAGGCGTGGGGGGTGGGAGGATCCACCAGAGACAGAGCCGGGAACAGAACAGGCAGTCTGACTGAAATACACTGCTGAGGGGAGCAGCGGGTGAGTCAGGAGAGGTCTGCTTCGCCATGTGGGTTGCTCCCTGGCCAGGGATCAAACACATGCTGCAGTGGCTGCGGATTGCTTCATAGGTTGCGTCTTAACCCCTTGCGCCACCAGGGAGGCCCTCCCTCCACCATTTCTTTCTTCCTCCTGCTACCCTTTCTTTTGCTCTCCTCCTAGTATAGCTTTATTCCTTGCCCACCTTTCCTTTCTTTACTCTCAATAATATAGCTTTGGAATATATTTTAGTATATTTATTGAATCATTATCATGTCATCTTCTCTTTTCTTAATTTGAAGTCCATTGAGTTCAGTCTTTTTAATTGCGCGTGTGTATTTTACACACAGAACAAACCAACCCAATTAAATTTTTTTTTTGCTTCTGTGTGGCCTTGCATTGATGTCTCTCCTGCCCCCCTTTCGGGGATCAGTAGTGACTCTTTATAGAAAAAAAAAAAAAACCTCAGCTCACTATCATGTGGTTATTATTATTTTTATGACAAAAACATCTTTAACAATAGAAAAA